GTGGTGAGTATTTTTCTTTACTCCTCTTGTCTTTTTACTTTATGGGGTCCCCTATCTCTTTTTTTTTTCCACTGGATCCCATTCTGTGGAGAGTGTTACCCAGACAGGTGTGCTTTTATCAATCCAATTCTGCACTAGTAACCACTATTTCACTATACTTACTACCAGCTGTAACAGGCTCTGTAGAAATGAGGTGTTCCATAAGAACACCTAGGATGGTATTACCATACTATGCTGGACTGCCACTCATGGATTATCCTGAGTAAAGCTTAAGGGGATCCTGCCGATCATCAGATTGAATAAATCAGGGCTGATTTTCAATTTGCATTTACATATTTAGGGAACTTGGTTCACCTATTGCACTATTTCCAGAGCACTTTTCTTCAGGACTCTCCAACATGCATTACCCCCCCCCGATTCTACTAGTCTTTTCCTACAGAGTGTAAGAGTGAATTCCTCCATTCTCGGAGAAGAGGGCAGAGTTGGGGACCCTCCTACTCGGGTCCCTGGATGTTTTTTCCCAGATGTTGATAGGGGAAACACCAGCCTCCTAGGTAGCCTACTTGTAATACCAGTTCAGATTGGAAGCTCGGCTATTGATTGAGGTGTTCATGGCCCTTCTTTTTGATCAGTATCGGTTCAGTACACTGTTCATAGAAGGGGTTCCATTATTTCTTCATAATTCCAAACATCCTGAGTCCTAAGTTGAGCACAGTTGTTCCATGTCCTTTCCATAATTTTGGGGGCAAGTGGAATGCTCCTTACCCATTTGCTTGGGGAGTGAGGATGAATGTTCATAATTTCAGACCAGATGTGTTTTGTTCCTTTGAATGAGTAAGGCAAAGAAGATCCCATCATTCTGAGCCTGGAGTGTTGCCTTTAGGTGAAGAAGGTTTATCTGCTTTGGTGTTGTTTACTTTCTCATCATGATTTTGGATGGTTTGGAACACATCACTCTATGACTACAGGTTAGATTTAATCAACAGTATTAAAGATATATATGTAACCTTGCACTCCAAGTGTCCTAGCCACCAGTGTGGGAAATATAGGGCCATGGTCCCAATATCCCACATTGGTGGCTAGGACCAACCAGATAGCTGAGGCTGGCCTATAGTGATAATCATTCATGTACATTTCCACCCTTGATACAGGAACTAGGTTTAGGGTGAAGAACATACCTGTTCTGGATGTAGTGTGGTTGTCCCAACTTGGATACCTGTCTTATCTTGGCACACCCGTATCTATGCAAATGCTTTCTCAATGGATAATGCCCTCACTGGCCCCTCCACCTTCTCGATGTTGGATTCTAGCTATGAGTGTCAGTGAAGGTAAGTATGTTTTATAAGTTAATATTTTTCTAAATTGAAAATGAATTTACAGTCTGCAGATACTTTCCCACTGTTCCTCCTTGCTAAGATTCAATGTTAGATCCTTTCTGGTGTTAGAGACTGGGGGGTGGTGTAAGTCTTGAAAAAGTGATAAAATTATTCGAATGAGGTGCTTATATACAGTTCCAGGATAGAGGGTGCATTGATGTAGGTGGAGAGTGTCACGAGACGAATATCACTGCGGGCAGTTAAGTGAGGTATAAAAGTCCGGAGTAAGCAAGAAAAAATCAGACCAATGCTTAGATGGGCAAATAAGAAAACCTGGAGGTCGAGCGATAGCTACAAGTGTAAAAAGAGGTAAGTATTATTGGAAATACATTTTCAGTTTAGGAAAATGTTAACTTATGTTATCTAGTCTTTGAAAGAATTTCTATATTCTGAATACAAATATCTTCAAGTGATCTTAGACATGACTGCATAATTTGGGATTGAATAAATTCTATTTGTAAGTTGTGTTAAGTCAAACCTAAATAACTGCCACAAAAACACCTGTTACACTACTAATAAAGAATTTACCTTTTATTGGACCAAAAATCATTGGATATTGTGATTTTTACTTTTAATGTATTAGTACAATGTACCTGAAAAGAAATTATACAGAGATTATCTTTAAATGTTGAGATTACGTGGAATAGGTGCAGTGCTTGTTATGGTGACTTGATGGATTTTTTTTTGTTATTTGAGTGACATTGATAGCAAAAATCTAGTTATCAAAATCTACATTATCTTTCGGTGACATTGATAGCAAAAATCTAGTTATCAAAATCTACATTATCTTTCGGTGACATTGATAGCAAAAATCTGGTTATCAAAATCTACATTATCTTTCAGTGACATTGATAGCAAAAATGTAGTTACCAAAATTTACACTTGCCAGTCCCTTTGAAGTTGACTTTCTTCTTTTTGAAACTTGTCAGTTCCTGCTAAATGACTTTAGCATTATTTAAGTTTTTCAGACATGATTATTGAGTAGGTTCACATATCAGCTTTAATTTTGTTTTTTAATAACCATACTTCCCAACCAGCCATTTTTTTTTCAAGATTATTTTAACCAATCCTTATTGTGAAGGTGGGACCACACCTTTTTTATCTATTTCTTAAAATGTATCTTTTGTATGTAACTAATCTCAATTCAGTGTAAAAGCTCTTTTATCCTCATGTGTGAAACTTCCGGAGTATCTGAAAAATGTGATCTGAAAATTCCTAAAGTATAAAATACCTTCAACTACTAATTTGCAGTGATTTCAGGTGTACAAACTGTATAAAAAATTATATCAACCCCTAGTCTAATAACAATGGTTTAAACCTAAATAAAAACATTAATATAAAAAATATACTACGTAAGACTTTATATAAAGGGCATTTATCAAGTGGGTGATCAAAAACAGTTCTCTACCAACTATCCCACAGTAAAGTATTTTTAACTGGAAATTTTTTTATGTGGTGTAGTAGGTCAACAACTTAGTTTTAACCACATTAATAATTAGAAATAAAAAGAGCTGTTGGATAAAATTACTTATAAAAATCATGAACCACATTAATAATTAGAAATAAAAAGAGCTGTTGGATAAAATTACTTATAAAAATTCATGAACCACATTAATAATTAGAAATAAAAGAGCTGTTGGATAAAATTACTTATAAAAATCATGAACCACATTAATAATTAGAAATAAAAAGAGCTGTTGGATAAAATTACTTATAAAAATCATGAAAAAAACCTCAAAATTTTCGACTTACAACTGTAGGTACAACCAACAGTGTATGAATAGTATGTAACAAAGACTGGGGTATATAATGTTATTTAATGCTGTATAACAGCTTAGTAACACAAATTCTGTGTGATATCTAATAGTCTATAATAAATATCTAGATATATGAAACATTATTACCATTAAGTAATGAAAACAAGTGTATGATATGTAAAAGGTATCTAGGTATCTGATATTGCATGAGTTGTGACATAAGTGTGCTTTATATGAGAAATCTTTGTTACCTGAATGTACCATTTCTTCTTTAAGCTAAGAAAGGGAAACTGTTTAAGTTCACCAAAATCTTCAGAAATGTGGGCTTACAAACTTTCAGATACACTAAAATCTACTGATATTATTTCATGTTCTAGTTATGCACTGTCAAGGTATGTGTCCCACTTAGGTATTTTTGGATATTTCTCATAGGCGATTACTACTTAAAATCTAATTTTGGTGCTTCAGCAGCTTTGTTACGTTTAGTTTTAGAAATGCCTTATGGTTAAACTTTCTTTCTTTCATTTGAGACAACCAGTGATGTGGGTAGTTCCTGCATTCTTAGAAAACGTAACTGTTTTTGTGTATATATATAACATCATATTTTCTTAGTTTATAACAGAAATTACTTTTCCAATATATCTTGCAGCTAGATCATTTTCTACACTCATCTATTTCTGATTTGCTATTGTAAAGATTGATTTCACTTTGTGATCAGCGTTTTTCTGCAGATCAGTTAAGTCAGTTTTCAGATTCTGTTCTGTTCTCGAGTTAGTTACTACCCTGATTTGTGGATAATCTTTGAATATCACAATTGATATCCTAAGTGCTCTCTTAGAGATTAAACATCCCTCATCCCAAAAGAAAGAAGTTCCACATTTGAAGAATATTAGTGTAGGATATCAGACCTCATCTGTTGTGACTTGCCTACTTTTTATGTCTTGCCTGTTTTCAGGTGTTGGTAATGTAAAACTATAAGGAACTCAAACTGGTGTATTTACGTGTTTTACACTCACAAAAAAGAAACCTATAATTCTATAGGTATTTGAAGAACTTGTAGCATTCCG